TCTCTTGGCTGCCCCAGCCCTGGTGCAACCAGCCCATGCAGCTCCCTGCCACCCCCAAAGGGTCTCTTCTGCCCCCTTCTCCTGGTGAGGGGGCAGGCACCTGCCCTGCCCCAGCCCCAGTGCCCAAACATTCCCCCAGTGCCAGCAGACACCTGCCCCTGCCCCACACACACACTCATCACCACACACCCCCGCCACACACACATACATTCTCACATGCTGCCTGGCCCTAGACGTCCCCAAGCCCTGACCCTCCAATCCCCATCTCCCATGGACTTACCTGCATGCAGCTGCCAGGTCTGCTCCTATCACCCTGTCTAGCTGTATCCGTATGTGCACACACATGGTGCCCCCTGCCTCAATTGCCCTCCCCCCCAGCCCCAAGCAGCTCCTTGCAAGCTAGAAGGATGCCAGCCTGCAAAGAGAAACCTGTGGTTTCCTGTGGGTTTCTCCTTTGAAGAGGAAAATCTGTACTTTTCTCCCTCAAAGGAGAAAATCTGCATTTTTCCATAGTAAATGGAAAGCCCGGATCCCTGATCATCAGTATACTGGAGCTTGTTGATTGACGTCAAAGTAGTCTTGGTTTTGCCTCATAGTTGATTGAGATTAAACAGCTTGCCCTCCATTTGGTAGTTTAGCTCCATTCTAGCTGGAAACTTATTGGTGATCAGATGTAACATCATGGTAAAGAATATTGAGAAGAGTGTTGGAACTATGATGAAGCCTTGTATAATTCCCATTTTAACCTCTAAAAGATCTGTGATAGATCTGTTATTGAGAACTGCTGCTCATATACAGTCATGAAGCAGGCAAAGAATGGTGATGAATTTTGATGGTCATCCATATTTGAGGATTCCTCTGCAGCGCTTCTCGGTTAATGGAGTTGAAGGCTTTCCTGAAGCCAAAGAAGGCCGTGTGGAGAGGTTTATATTTTTCTTGACATTTTTGCTGCAGCTGGTGAGCAGTGAAGATCCTGTCAATTGTATCTCTTGATGCACTAAACCCACACTGAGATTCTAGGAGCAGCTCTTCTGCAAGTGGAAATAAACCATGTAGGAGGGTTCTCACAATGATCTTTCCTGCAGTGGATAGCAAGACAATCCCTCTTTAATTTCAACAATTGGACTTATCTCCTTTCTTGAAGATTGTCATGATCATGGTGTCCCTGAGGCCACCTAGGTTTTCCTTATTGTTCCAGATCTTTAAGATGAGGGCATGGAGCCATGATGTGAGTTCCTCTCCCCCCTGCTTGAATATTTCGGCAGGGATTCCATTTGCTCAAGATGCCTTGTCATTCTTCATCTGCTTGATGGCTTTCCTCACCTCAGCAAGGGTTGGAAGGATTCCAAGATAATCTCTGACTGGGTGTTGTGGGATGGAGTTGAGAACACTCTTGTCAACAACAGAGTCTCAATGGAATAGGTCTTCAAAATTCTCCTTCCAATGGGCATTGATGGCCGGATCCCGATGTGCCGGCACATGCAGTTTGTGGTGCCACAAACCACATGCCCAGCACATTTTGTAGCACAGGGGCAGCATTTGCTTCCAGAAAATCCCAATAAGCAAAAAAGTGGTGCGGTGCATGTCACAGGAGTATGCGCCAGCAAACACAGAAGCTTGGTTGGTCCTCCCAGGAAATGCTCTGGCTGCTGACCAGAGTCTCCCCTCCTCTAGTTCCACCCTGTCTCCTCCAACACGCTGAGAGCCAGGAGGAGCAGGGCATTTTGCCCTGCACCAAAGCGCATGTGCAGAAGCATGCACAGGGGCAAAAAGTGGCACAAACTTGTGCCACTACTTTTTTTGCCACTGTTAGTGCACACCCCTGCATGTGGGGACGTGCCCAATTGGTTCCTCTCTCCTTTGGTCTCAGGGGGGTTGTCCCCTGGCAGAACAGTGTTGGTGACGGTGATTCTGTGTTCCATGCATTTGGCCAAAAGGAGGATGCCATTGGAATTGACCTGTCCCACTCCTTCCTTGCCAATGGTTCCATTTCAGAGGTGTGAGTCCCTTCAGACTTTGGCATTGAAATCGCCAAGAAGAATGAGTCCATCTCCCACGGGAACTCCAGAAAGGACTTGGTCAAGGTTGATGGAGAATTTCTCCTTCGTTTCATTGGTGGTGCCTGTCAACAGTCAGGGTATATATGCTGACAACAGTGCCAAACTGGCTCCCTGCCAGTTTAAGACGGAGAGTCATGAGGCTCTCATTAATTCCAATAGGGAATTCGCTGAGTTGGTTTACAAGTTCATTTTTAATGGCAAAACCAACTCTGTGAAGCCAGCATTCTCCTTCCATTGTTTCATAGTTTCATAGTAGGTAGGGTCAGAAGGGACCTGAGCAGATCATTAAGTCCGATCCCCTGCCAAGTCCCGTTTACCCTTTCAGAAGTTGATCTTTGAGCTGCTGATCTACCACTCGCTTGATCTTGGTCAGTGCAGTGACTTCAGTGTTGCATTGCCTGAGTTCTTGAGCCACGATTGCAGTGCGGTGCTCTGGTCGTTCACTGTTAGGATTGCCCGTGAGGGTCCTGATGTTCTGGGTCCCAAAATTCATTTTGTGTCTTCATTGATTTTGGCTGCAGTAATGATGATCCCACTGGGTGCAGTTATCCAGTCAGGAAAAAGGCAGCCAGACTACGTTTAGGATACCTTTTTCTAGCCCCCTCCCCATGTGGGATGAGTAGAGTGGAAGAGGGCTGCTCAGTTGCAGTTATAGCTGCTAAATCACACTCCTAGCTTGAAGTGCTAGACAACCTTCTTGTAACTGCTGCCTTCATGTCAGTTCATGAGTATGATCTTCTAACATTTTCTTCCACCTGCTCCACCATTGAGAACTTGTAGACCCATGGCTGGGGGCTGGGCAGATTTATTATAATGGTGACCTATACTGGCCATGTCACAGCACCATCAAAGGATATATGTTGCTTTTCAGGAGGGACAGCATTGCTATCTGCTGGCGCCACCACATCCTGGTGGTGCTGCTGCTGCTTGGACCACAGCTGCTTATTTGTCAGAGTTACCCCTACTTATTTTGCAGCTGAACTTCCCTGAAAGTCATTCCACCATTCACCACTTGTGGATGTGCTGGGTAGCAGTACAACTCTGCCGCCAAAAGGGAAAGCACGCAAGAGATGGAAAAATGGGCAGGTCATCAAGGAACCATCTTGGGGAAATATCACAAACTTGTAGGGACAGAGTCAGAAAGGCAAAGATAAAGAATGAGCTTCAGCTGACAGGAAGTTAAAGACAACAAGAAGAGAGAGTCTGTGAACATTTTGACCAGAATAATTTCCCAAGCAGGAAGCAGCTGTGACCACCTGAAACCTGAGATCCTGCTGCTGCCTTTGTTTCAGAGTAATTTGTATAATCACAGAACCTCACAGGAGGTGAGATGCTCCATACCAGCTATGAACCGCCTTCCCATTGGAGTTTTCCATCTATTGACTCCTCTGTGAAATCTTATGAAATATGAACTTTCATTTCTACCCAGGAGAACTTTTACAATCTTTTCTCCAGTGCCTTATGGAAGGGTGTTTTTGCCCAAAAGCTTGCAATTAAAGATTTTTTTTTTAAAAATCTTGTTGGTCTAATAAAAGATATAATCTCTACTGTAAGTTCTGATTGCTTTTTCCTGCAGACCAATATGGCTACAACCTGGATACCTAAGAGATCTGAGTACATTTAGCCAGAAGAAAAGGCGATTAAGGGCAGTCATGATATCAGTCTTTGAATAATCTGAAACTCTGCTCTAAAGAAGAGGAAGAACAACCTTTTCTTCTTTGCTACAGAGTGGGATGCATAACAATGGCTTAAAATTGCAGCGAAGCAACTTTAGTTAGATTGGGTACTCGGAAAAATTTCTCCACTGTTTAGAGCAGTGAGGCAGTAGAATAAACTGTCTAGGGAAGCTGTGGAATCTCCTTCTTTGGAGGTTTTCGAGAAAATCTCCTTTGGAGGCATTAGTCAAAGATGATTTAGGATTAGCAATGCCTAAAGTACACTGTGAAGAGCAGCAGTTGGAAGCCCAGGAGCATCTCTCTCCAGGCACACATCTCAGATCATGAGAAGAGCTCTGCAGCCCAGAGCAGGTAGAAATTGGAAAGAACTATGCTGAACATCAGGAGAATGGAGAAAAGTTGCATAACTGACTGTTGAAAGAAGATTAAAGGATCTGGGATAAGTGTACAGAGGGGACAGGATTGTAGAAAGCAGAGTACTGACTCTCCAGTCAGTGTATGAGATGTGTTTTTGCATTCTCCTGGTTGCAGTGCAGAGTGGGCGCTGTTTGGTTTTCCCTTGTTTCTGGCGTTGCTGTTTACCACGTGGGGCTGAGAAGGAATTTTTCCCCCTCCTGTTACTACAGGTGCCAGGGTGTTTTTACCTTGGGTGTTGGCTGCACCCAACGCTGGGGATCTTAACTGGGGTTTGCTGATGCTCTAACTGGGACTGAAAAACCCAGAGGGTCTTGCTTCTCTGCCCAAGGTCAGACTGATCTCTACATTTGGAATCAGGAAGTAATTTTACCTTATGGTCAGGTTGGTATGCCCTGTAATCTTTTTGCTTTCTTTTGCTTTTCATTTTTTGCTTTTTTTTAATAGCAGGGGGTCATAGTCCTCTTCCCTGGAACCCTTGAACGTACATTAACATACTACTTCCTTTCCTTGCAGTGGCAAAGCATAGAAAATGTGTTATCCCCCTGTTATACCTGTGGCAAGTTTAGGTTTTTTATGTTTCGGGGTATTGTGCCTGGTAGTTGTGCAAGAGGGTTGTTCATGAAGTTTAAAAAATAGTTTAGACAAACAACTTCTCTAGGATAGTTTAGATAAGAATGGTCCAGCCTTGTTCAGGGGGTTAACCCTATTAGACAGTGCTATTAATCTGCTGTTTTAAAAAATTATGTTTTTTTAATCTTAAATCTTTTCTTTATTACTACTTCTATGTGCTAGGTGTCTAGCTGTTGCATGTTGCTTTTTGTTAAACTCTTCTAAAAATTTTCTTCAGGGATGCTGAAGATAAGCATAAGCTTATAACAAAGACTGAGGCAAAGCAGGAGTACCTTCTGAAAGACTGTGATTTGGACAAAAGAGAACCAGCACTCAGATTTATTTTGAAAAAAAACCCTCACAATGCAAATTGGGGTGACATGAAGCTTTACTTAAAACTCCAGGTATGGAAATTGTTGTGAATATTTTTCAAATTATTTGGTCCTTTTTTGTATTCTAATGATGCTCCTGCTGCATTCTGTAGTGGTGCTGAACTCAGAATATTTATAATTTGCCACACTAAATAAATTGTGCAGCAAAAGACAAGTGTCACAGAGCCAAAAGAAGAGGAAGCTAAAGGCAATCTGACTCCCTGCCCCAGTGATTGGGCACTCTGGATTCTCAGGGCTACAGAGTTAGACTGCATCTTATTCTGTTTTGGGCCTGTGAGTTACTTTCTCAGCTTCACAGTAGATCTTGTTTCAGCAGGAGGGTTGAAGGGTGCCCACACTTGGACTATCCTGTCACCTGGTAAGCAGGTGTTACATTCCTGCAAAATGAGAAATGTGGCTTAAAACTTCCACGGGCTCAGGAGGTCTTAGAACCCAAGTCTCCCACTTCTTGGGAAAATATTGGAATCCTTAGACTATTACATAAAAGGTGGGCACTATCTCTGCCACGGCATCATTTACCTATCGCTGGATCCTGAATAGAAGGAGGCACCTAATGCACCGGCCTGAATTAGGTACCGCAGGTCCAGAAAAACACAAGTTCAAATGGACCCCTGGGCTGAGTGTTTCCTGTTGGCTCACTCTAGGCAGATACCTATTCAGCATCTAAGTGATCTAGATCTCCCTTTGGAGGCACCTAATGCTTCCCATTGAGTACATGGAGAGCCTAGGAAACAGAGTAAGTTGCCTTATCACCTGCTGGAGCCAGGTGCCCAATTTTTACATGTTGCAACAAATTGGGGGTGCCTGAAGTGTTTGTAGAGCTCTCCCCGAGTACAGTACCCATTCAGATAGGATTTACTTGGTACTCTCCAAATCAAAATCTGATTTGTGTTTATACTTCTGTACAGAATCAACCATGCAGAACAGTGGAAGGGATAAAACCCTGAGCAGCCCTGGTGTGCTGCTCTTGGGATCGCTTCCTTAAGCATACTTACTGATGTGTGCTCAGGGCAGCCCCATTGACTAATTCGTGGCATTTGGTGCATGTAATGGAGCGTAATTCTTGGTAGTGCTCCGAAATGTGTCATATAGGTAGTGTACACAAGCCCTTTGTATTTTATAAGTGTTGTTGAGGAGGCTGTTTCTAATTATTTAATTATGCTAATTAATCGCTGTTACAACTTTGCTTCAGTGAAAGTTGGTGGGTAGCAAAGCTCTTGTCAGATCATTGCTGCCCCCCGGTCATTCTTGGCAGGCAATTCGCTAGCATCTTCATATTCTTAATAGTGGAGTATAGGAAATCACATAGGGTCAGATAGAACCAGCATGAGTTGGTGAATCTCTACTTGCAAATCCATTTCAAGCAAGTAACTTGCCTGTCATCGTGAAGGAATCTTTGGGATATAAAGGCAGGGTAAAATGAAAATGTGCTTATGTTTCACCCTCTAGGTAATAAAGCGTTCTCTTGAAATTTGGGGCAGTGAAGAAGCATTACAAGAAGCAAAGGAAGCTCGCCAAGGTACTAGAGAGAAAATGAAACAGAAAAAGTTTGATAAAAAAGTTAAAGGTAAGCAGATTGAATTTAAACCTTAATAAAAAGAAGAAACTTGTGGTTTTATCTTTTATTGACCATGAAATGAAATCAGTAGTTAAAATACACATTTATTTTTGGACATGGACACTTAATGTAAATACTACTTCTGCAGCAGCCATAGTAGTATCCATCTATATATGCATTTACTTCTACATCCATCAGTATATTTGGTAACTAAGCACTTAGCATGACCAAAAGGAAATTTTCAAAGTCATTTAGAAAACATGACACAACTGTGGTAGATGAATGTTCTTTGCCATATTTTCTCACATTACCCTCCACCCTTTCCTTTCCTGACCCCTGCATGTAAGACACGTACCTTGTATTTGGAAGGTAGAATGTAGAAGAAATATTTTTTATAAAAGTTCCTGTAAATAATAGTGTTTTTTCCACACTACAAGCCTCATGAAGATACTACAGAAAGCATGCAGCAGTTCACTTACTCTGAGCCAGCTCAGTTGGTGCTTCAGACGCAAGGTGCAGTACTCAACCAATAGCTTCTGTAGGTGTGAGAGGGTTAACATTAGACTTCAGCCTTTCTGTTTGCTGGGGCCAGGGAGAAGCAGTAACCATCCTGGGAGTCATTAGAGCCCAGTGTCTGCATACTCCTATTCATTCCTGTTGGTATTCCAGTGGAGAAAAAAATCAGCTTCCCCACTTATGATATGCATCGCAATTTTGGAGGGATGGTTTGCAGGGGGGTTTTCAAGTACCACAAATGTACATGTTGTATGTGAGTAAATATGGTATTGTAAAGCTGCCTATATGGAAAGCTTCTTCCACACTGAACGGGAACAAACTTTTCATTTATTTCAGCACTCAAAAAGAGGCTCTCTTGGTGATACTGTTTGTTTGTAGAAGGGGCCCAATCTACATCCATTTCTCAAATGAGAATCCATTTTGATTTCACTGGAGATAATCATGTAAAGATTTGTAGGGGTGGGCCTATAGGTTGTAAAGAGCTTTGGATCATTTAAGAGGAATAATAAGTACTATGTGGATGGAAAATATTGCCCTGATTATCATAGAATATATTTAGGATTAAAACTGAAGATCTAAGTTTACCTGCTGTCCAGTGTAATGGAAAGTGGCAAGCTGCATGGAAGTAATTGAAAGCATTCCTGGAAACAGGATAAAAAATAGTCACAAATTGCACTCTCAATACATGTTGGAGATGTGATGCATTGCAGGTAATGCTTAGTCACATATTTTAGTTACATTCTATTATCAATTGTTTTTGGAAATAAATTTTAATTATAGTTAACATAGTTTTGAACACAGCACTGATAACTTTGGCAAATGTGTGTTCTTGGGTATATATCACCAATAACTTCAAATTGAATCATTCACAGATTACACTCTTTCAGGAGGCCTTATTAATAACACGCAGGATTATGCAGCGAAAAAATAGGACATGGGCAGATCCAAGAATTCTCAAAAGTGGGTGTGGGAGCAATCTGCACTGCAGGGATGGCTGCACACCCAGCTCCCAGCATCTTCTGCCCTCACTGGTGCAGGCAGACTGTGCCATGGGAACTTCTGGGGACTTTTAAGTCCATGCAGCAGGTGCAAATCCCTCCCCATGCGCTTCCCTCTCCTGCTCAGAGGCAGCCCCCTTCCCTTCTTCTCCCTCTCCCCTCAACTCCCATGCTTGCTGCTGCTGCTGTTTTCTCCATTGATCCTGGGCCTGGAAGCTCCAGAGTCAATCCAGGCTGAGCAGTGGCTGGGCTCATCTGGGGACAGTGGCGACAGTGCAGCAGGAAAGTAGTTCTCCCCACCCTGCCTGCAGCAAGAACAGGGAAGGGGAGCCCCTGTCCATCCCCACTGTTTTCTGCATCTCCAGCTGAATGCAGCCCCCACACAATGAGTAGGACCAGTTCTACTGCTTCCTTACCTCAGGACAGAGGGCAAAGTCAGGTGGGGGAGAGGAGGAAGGGACATGCTTTTCAGCCGGAAGGGGAAGGGTGGGAGGATTTTCACATCCTTCAGGGATTTTACAAAGTCCTTGGAAGCTCCTGTGGTGGTGCAGTGTAATTCAAAAAGGAGAGTATAGCTGCTCGACTCCACCCCCTCTGGATCTTTTAGGGTAGCTTGTCATATTTTACGCTTTAAGTTGCACCTGTTTTTAGAGTGGTGAATTACAGTATTGTTTGAAGTTGTCTTAGGTAGACGGGGCTGGAACTGGGATCATAGAGCAGCAACAGTGCAGGGCTAGGGCCCAGGCCCAGAACAGAGCCATGATTCACTGTCCACATGTCCCTACAACAGGTACTGGTTCCATGGACGGGGTGTGCAGAGAGTGTGATGCGGCTCTGCCCTGAGCCCCAGCCCTGTGCTGTCACTACCTAGCAATCCCAGGGTCTCCATGAAGACAAGCTGGGATCTGCACATGCAGGGTGCATGGCCAGATGGATGGGATGGGTCCACAGTTGAGCAGGGAGCTGCATCCAAGGCTAGGATCTTCGGGCGGTGATAGCATAGGGCTGGGGCCCAGGGCAGAGTCACAATCCCCTCTCTGCACGCCCCTGCCTGCAGAACGTGTGTCCTTCTCAGGGCTATGCGGGCAGTGGATCGCAGCTCTGCGCTATCACTACCCCGCGATCCTATCCTCTGATCCTGGCCTTGCTCTCCTGTCCCACTCCTGAACATTGCTCCCCACCTGCCCCCAGTCCCATCTGATCCTCCCAGCTGTACACCCTGCCTGCGTTAGTACCCCCCAGCAGTGGGTGCCCAGGTATTGGGGCCAGGTTGGCAGCAGCAGCTGGAAGGAGCTGGGGCTGCTGGGAAGTGAGTCTGGCTGCCTTCCTGTCCCAGCCCCGCTGTGCACTTCAGGGCGGTGGGACAGGCCACACACCACAGCCCAGGCTGCCCCCTGCACCTGGGTTTGGCAGGACCAAGGGACCTGCCACAGGTTGGATAAAATTCCTTGCTGGGCCAGACATGGCTCGCAGCCTTTATTTTGCCCACCCTGTATTAGAGAGAAAGATGGAGATAAATAGAGCTTATGATGGTTGATAATGCAACATAAGGACCTGTTCAGTTTCCACCCATACAGGAGTTCTCAGTTGTATCAGTCATTTAGTACTTACTAAGAAGGCATTGTGATATTGTTGATAGTTTGGAAAATGAAAGCCACCCATTTCAGTTGGTAGTTTCATCTTTTTTGATGAAAGTTAACCTTTTTATCATCTCCCCCTAGAAACCCATGGAACATTTGGTGTATTTTAACAAAATAGGATTGAGGGGTTATAACAGGTAGATTAAATAATAGGTAAACTAGGCAAGGTAATATTCATTTTTAAATTATAACTCCTTTTATCTCCAGTTAGTCAACTTTCTTTCTAATCCGATACAGGCATTCCTACTCTTTTACTTCAAAAAGAACTCCTGCGGGGCAAATACATTTGCATTTTCCTTTAAGACTATTGCAGTTTCCTTAGTATGGATGTGGACCTTATCTCTTTCTCCTTGTCTGCACAAGCAGATCCACTGGCTTCAGTAGCAGTTGCCTGATACCTGCACATTCAGAAGTTTGACTCTGCAAGATATTTATGAAAATCTGCCTAAATAGTGAATGTCCTGTCTGACCTCTTGTAATCTCACGGTTATTTCCCTTGATGCTGATTTGTTTTATTTAAACAAGTAGTGCTTTCAGACTTTTTCTAACAGGATTTTATTAATGTTTTTCATCAGAGCTCCGTCGAGCAGTTAGGAGCAGTTTGTGGAAAAAAGAAGCAGGCATCCACCATCATGAGTATGGACCAGAAGAAAATATTGAAGAAGATATGTATAAAAAGACATGTACTACGTGTGGCCATGAGTTAACGTATGAAAAAATGTAGCATGTCCTGATTTTTTATTGTTCCAAAAGTGCATCTTTTTAATATTAAATATTTTCTGTCAAGGTAAAATTAATCTGATTGTGAGTACATCTTTGTACAGAATCCTATAAAGATATTGCTCATTTATCTTCAGTTCCTCTATGCAAATAGTTACATCTGACAAAATTAATGGTTTAGATATCCTTTACATTTTTTTTTGCCACTGACCAGCTCATGATGCTTATGAGCATATGTGCTAGGACCAAGAGAAGAACTCTGCCTGGGGAGAGCAAAGCCAGAGAAAACTCTGGTGGAGGCCCGTAGTGGTGCTGACATACAAATCAGTCATCTGCCCTAGATATTGGGGTGAAAAACTAATTGAACCATCTAGTAGCTAGTTCCTTCCAAAGTTGAAAGGTGAAAGATACAGCACCAATATAAAGGTGGGGATTTATTATAGGCCACCAAGTCAGGAAGTGGAGGTGAATGAAGCACTCCAAGCAGGTGACACATCTATCCAAAAGCTGGAACGGTACTGATGGGAGACTTCGATTTTCTGGATGTCTGCTGGAAGAAAGATGAAACCAAACATACAATGTCAAGCTGACTCTTAACTTGTGTGGAGGACAGCTTTCTGTTCCAAGGGACCATATACTTTGGATCTTGTCCTGACTAACAGGGAGGATGTGTGAAGGCTTATCTGAATAAGGAAGGGGACAAGCCAAGAGAGGAGATAACAAAACAAGTTGTCAGACTGCTTTTGTTGGGTCTTAATGAATTGAAGTCAGCAGGGCTGGGTGACTTCATCCCAGGGAGGAACTGGTAAGGGAGGTCTTGGACCCCTTGGCAAAGATCTTCATGAAGTTGTGGGAGATTGGCCAGGTACCAGAGGACTGGAAGAGGTCCACCGTAGTGCCTCTCTTTTTGAGAAGGCAAACAGGAGGACCTGGGGAACTATAGACCAGTTATCCTCACTTCAGTACCTGGGAAGTTAGTGGGGCATATCCTAAGGAAGGCCATTTGCAAGGATCTAGAGTAAGAAAGGCTGCATGGATTTATGAAAAACACATCAGACAAACTTGATCTCCTTTGACAAAGTAACTGCTTGGGTGGATGAAGGAAATGCTGTAAATACAGTGTTTCTGGACTTCCACAAGGCTTTTGACAAGATTCCACAAGTCCTTTTCAGAAACACATTGGAGAAATGTGGGCTAGATAAAACTAAGGTGGATAAGTTGCTGGTTCAATAGCTGCAAGTTAGGGTATTGTGTCAGCAGGTTGGGGTATTGTCTGAACATTGGTGGTAGTTTTATGAAGAGTTTAGATTACAAATTTGTACAGAATGGCTTGGATAGAGACGATCCTGCCTCAGGTAGGGGTTGGACCAGATGACCTTTCAGCCCTTTACGTTTCTATGATGCTATGACAGATCACCAGCAAATGTTAACTTTAACACTGACTAACATCTTTACATTAAGCACCTGCTCTGTAATCTCACCCGAAGATACCATTATGGGAGTTTAGTGAAGACTCTCAGGATACACTTGGCAGTTTTGTGGACAGGGAAATGTAGGGTCACTGCTGGTCTCAGCATGGTGCAGCCGCTTTTATGGGCCTATACCTACTATCCCCCCTTTATAGTCTCACCAGCTATGCCCTGATGTAACAGATTAATAGGGAGGCTGCCCTAAGTGCAAAGAGAGCTTTGTGTAGTGGGCTCTTTTCTGGACTGGCTGCCCCAGCCTCATCCCACTTTGACTCTGGCTGCACCATCTTGCCCAGGGCCACAAGCTCAGCCTGAGGGCAAGTCAAGTCATCCCCTCTTGACTCTGAGTTGTAGGGTCCTGTGAGGCCAAGGGGCCTGCTTTCATGTTTTCTGACTGTGCCTGGCAAGCTTTGCCCCTCACAGGCTCTGTACCTATCCCCAGTCTCTATCTGGGGTCCTGTTAACACTGAGTGAGATTCAGGGTGTCCCCAGGCACCCCTTCCAGTGGCTCCCACCTTGCCTACCGCCACAACCCAGTCCACTGGATGAAACAAAAACCAGAAAACATGGGCACATTCCATGGCTCAAACAACTGCTCCACCTGGGTTAGCCTTACCTTCCAACGAGGCTTACAAACCAAAACAGAAAAAGATTCAGAATACTTATCTCGCTCCCAATAAGGGTTTTTAGGTTCCTTTCACCCTGTCTGTCCATCTGAGTCCTTTCTTCATAGCCCTGGTTTGGCCCCGGGCTCTTCCATCTGGAGCTTTGCTCCCTATAGCTCCTATGACCAAACTGCTCCTCTGGCCTGAGGCTTGGGCTTATAAAGTCTCTTCCAGGTCACTTGACACTCCAGTTCTTCCCTTGGGCAATCAGGCACTGTCTGCACGTCAGTGGCTATCTTGTCTCAGGCTTCTCTGAATGTTAGTTTGGCCCTGGCAACACAAAGGAAGTATGAGTAAAAAGGAAGAAAAAGAGGAGGGGGAGGAGAGAAAAGGAAGAAAAAAAAGAAAAATAACAAAGAAGAGAGACAAACTGATAGGGA